GCCAAGTTACTGGAACCTCAACAATTGGCATATTAAAATATTGAGCAATAAGAAGAACTTCGATATCAAAAATCCAGCCTTCCACATGCATATTGTGAAATATATATAAAGCTGATTTACGAGTAAATAACTTGAATCCACACTGTGTATCTTTTATCGCACGGATTCCTAATATATATAATACTTTGTGAAAAGAATGCATAAGAAAGTTTCGGATGAACGATCGCTAAAATAAATAATAATAATAAAATAATGGTAATTTGATTAAATCTTATGATATCATATAAGAGCATTATCATTCATCGCCAGTGCGATGCATTTACATCCTCTAAATTAAACCAAAACAAAGGTTTTTTTTTTTTTTTTTTAAAAAAAAAAAAGGCAGCCAGGTTAAGGTCAGGTTAAGGTAATAGTTAAAAGATCACCTAACCCAAAACTCCAAGGAAAAGTCAGCCTCAGAGGCCAAATTTCTTAAAATAATAATCACTTCGATTTTCCTGATTGGCTGATCAGGGATAATGATACATCGCACCAGAGATGAATTACAAATCTCTATAAAAAGATAATTGGAATTGGTAAAAAACAAAAAAAAAAAGTACCTTTACAACGACTTCGGTGTTCACTAAATGCGCTCTAGATCCAACGGCAACACCAAACCCATTTTTGTCTATAACTTCGAGCAATCTCTTTTCTAAAATTTCATGATCAGAAAATTTTGTAGCCCCATCCGCATCCGCAAAAAGTATAGTTTTCCCTCTGGATGATAAAATCCCCTAGTAAAATTTTTCGATTATTATATAAATAATATTAATAAGTCATAAAAATATAATGCCAACCTGAGTAACTGCACCACCTTTCTTTCTGTTCTTTTCCAAAGTCAAAACCCTCAAATCTACGTGTGGACTTGCCTGACCATATTTTAATGCTGCTTTGGATGTACCATCAGTACTTCCATCATCAACCACTATGATCTCGTATTGAAAGGTTTGATCTTTAAGTCTTCGACTTTCCAGATAATTAACTGTTTCATGTAACATTGAAGGCATTCGTTCAGTCTCGTTGTAGGCAGGAACTACAACCGATAAAGTGCAACTTGGTTCATCAGATACATCTGGTAATGGCTGTCGTTTTTCTAAACGTGCTGAGAGGTAATATTTTTCCGCTTCTGTCCTTGCGCGTGGTTTGGGTGCGATTGCAACTAAGAGAATGAACTGAAAGTAATCCAACAATTTTTGGATGTTATTTGCGTAAATATAACCCTTTTACAAATAATAGTCAGCCCAAAGGCCTTTCTTGTTCATTAAACTTACTGCAATAAGAAATGAGATTATAAACAGCACAATAGTTATTAAATATTCCATCGTGGTTT